ATTGTTTTCGTCAAGCACGTAATTTATTATTTAAACGATCGAAAGAGAAAAACAGTAACGGGTCGATTAAAAATAATTTTTTTTTTTTTTTGTTTTTTCGTAATAAAATCAATTTAAATTAAATTAAAAAAAAAAAAAAAAAAATGGCGACGAAATCATATTTTACGCAATACGAACGGATTCGATAATAATAATAATAATAATTATTATTATTATTATTATTAGAAAAATTTTAATTGGATTTATAATTTTAAAATCACACACACACACACACACACACACACACACACACACACGACGTTATTAATTAATTACATGCATCTCCCGCCACGTATAAATAAATAATTAATTAATTAATCAACTTCCGGTTTTTTTAACGGCGGTTAAAATAATAATTCGTTTGTCGGTTGTTTTTGTTACGCGACAAATTAATTTAACGGATATAATTTAAAAAAAAAAAAAAAATTTAAAACAAACACGCAACAAAACATCGTTGACATCGTTTTTGTTACTTCCTGTACCTGAACAAACGCGTATGAAAAATCGATCGGACCTTAAATGTAAACAAAAATAAAAATGGCGTCGATTGTAAATTATCATTACGTCTGTCTACCGTCATCATCGTAATCAAGGTCCGGTTTGTTTTTAATTTACCAACAATATGGTTTTTATGTTTTTGTTTGACGTAACAATCGTTTAGGTACGACGTTTTCCAAAGCCTAAATTTTAAGTTTCTTTTCATATAAAACAAACAAATTATTTATTTATTCGAAAAAAAAAAAAAAAATGGCTGCCATGTAAGTTTTTATTTAATTTTTTTCTTTTTTAATTTTTTTCATCCTTTAAATAACCGTCATTATTTTGCCGCGTAAAAAAAATTGACTAAATTAATAATAATAATAATAATAATAATTTTTAAATTGATATATCCTTGAATGAAATCAAAAAAAAATTTTTTGCCGTCATTTTGCCGCCGGTTTGCCGCGCCGCCATTTTTTTTAATTTTCGTTTTCATAAATGCTTAATACGTAATTAATTTAAAATCTTATCGATAATTTTTTTTTTTTGTAAAAAGCAACAAAAAACCCGTAAGTAAGTTTGTTTCCGTTTAATCCGATTAAAAACAACAACAACAACAAACAAAACCTTGATTCGTCTGTTTGTTTGTTTGTTTGTTTTAACGGAAACGAATAATGAATAATAAAACGAATAATCGACGGCAAACTTTTTCTTTTTTTTTTTTTAACATTCGATAATGAATTCATTTTTGATTTATATAAAATGGCGTTCGTAAAATCGTTTCCGGAAAACTTTTTTACAAAAAAAAAAAAAAAAATACGTTCGAAGGGTGGGGAGTTGGGGGAGGTTGGGGGAGGGAAAGGGAGGCGTGAAGAGATAAACGGGGAGTCGATTTTAACGATCTTTAAAAAAAAAAAAATATATGAATATTAAACGTGGATTTAGTGGCAATAATATGATAGAATGGTAAAAACAAAAAAAAAAAAAAAAGGTTTTGTGAAAGTATCCCTTTCCTTTTTTCCTTTTTTCCTTTTTTTTTCCTTTTCCTTTTCTCTCAAAGGTTTTATCGTGAACGTTAAAAAAAAAAAAAAATTTTTTTTTTTTTTTTTTTTTTTTTTTTACCTAAATTTATACGTTTAAATTTGCATATAGCAAATAAAAAAAAGGAAAAAAAATGGAAAACGAATGAATAATAATAATGATGATGATGATAATAATAATAATAATAATAATGATGATGATGATGATGATAATAATAATAAAAACTGAATTGTCATGAAAATCGATGAAAAGTAATTTCTTTTTTTTTCCTTTTTTGTTTCTAGCGACACGTTTTTCAATTTTTTTTTTTTTCCTTTCCTTTTCTTTTTTATTATCCGGGAGGGGGAAGGGAGAGGGGAGGGAGAGAGAAGAGGAGGAGAAAGAAAGAGAGAGAGAGAGATAAAAACTAAAATATTCTGTTGCGAAATAAAAATTTACACTTACGTTTAAGGTTTCTTTCCCATTGTAAAATGTTATAAATTTTTAACGGTTGAAAAAATCTTTTCCCACATTTTTATTTCCTTTTTTCTCCTTTTTTTAAAATCCTTTTCCTTTTTTTTCCTTTTTTCCTTTTTATTTAACGTTTAAATTAAGATCTTTTTACAGTCGACTTGTACAATCGACCGCGTTTTTTTTTTTTCCTTCCGACATTTTGTTTTTTTCCAATGTCATCACCTAAAACCAATTTTTAATTATTATTATTATTTTAAATGATAATTTGGGAGGCGGGGAGCGGAGAGCAGAAAGGGAAGGAGGGAGGGAGAGGGTGAAAATGGAAAGGGATGAATATGAATATAAAAAAATTAACTTGTTATTAAAATAATATCAAATAAAATGTCGCCATCAACTTTTCTTTTTTTCTTTTTTTTTTTAATTTATGTATAAAAATTCTTTTTATTTTAATTAAATCCCGATTTTAAAAAAACGTGGGAGAAGAAAAAAAACGTGGAAGAAGAAGAATAAGAAAAAAAAGTTTTTTTTTTTTTTTTTTTTTTTTTTTTTTTTTTAAGGATTATATTATAAATATTTTAATTAAATAAATAATATGTAAATTAAAAACAAAAAAAATTTAACTTTAAAATTTTTTGTTTTGTAAAAAATTTATTATCTTCTGCTAAAGAGCGGGAAAAAAATTTATTTCAAAATTATTCGAACGAAGCAGACGAAATAAAAATAAAAAAATGATTTTTTTACACGATCGAGACTCCCTGCCATTATTTTCCCGTATGGGAATAATCATTTCATCCCCAAATTCTTTTTGACAAACCTTTTAATAATATTCTGCTATCTTCTGCCACTTCTGTGTTGTTTATAACTCATATATTTATTTATTTCCTTTTAAAAGATCCCTCCCCTCGTTCCCTCCAAAAAAAAAAAAAACCTCATTTCCCCGGATATACGTTTGGAAAATTTTTTTTTTCCATTTTTTATTTCCCCTCCTCTCCTCCGCGCTCCCCCTCGAAAACCCTAAACGTTTATTTTATTTATTTATTTATTTTTTTCCAAGGGATGATTTTGGGGAAACGGGCGCAAAAGTTTTCCTTTTTTTTCTTTTACCCTTTAAATTATTATTATTATTATTATTATTATTATTATTATTACTTTTCCAACGCATTCGAGTTACGTGATTTATTCACGTGTGTCTCCATTTTTTTTTTCTTCCTCCACTTCATATGTTTTTCTTTTTTCCCTCCCCCTTTTCTTTAATGGGACTTTACCCTCTACGACCTCTTGACCTCATTTATCGGGGGCTAAAATTTAAATTAAAACTTATACAAAACATACGTCGTTTGTTCGTGACACGTGGTTATTAAAAAAAAAAAAAGAAAAACTTTTACGACGTTTAAGCCTAAAATTCGCTAACTTTCTAATTACACGTTTTTTTTTCCAAATTTATAACCGTTAATTAATAAAACCGATTGAAAATTAAAGTAACAATGACAACGTTGCAAAATTTAAGTTCTATTGCCACGTCATGAATTTTTTAATTTTTTTTCTTAAAAAATAATTCCTTTTTTTTTCTTTAGCATTTAAAAACGAGAGGAAATCAAAAAGGAAAAACAAAGAAAAATTTTAGGAAAATTTGTTTTTCCCTTTTTCCGGAAAAGGAAAACAATTTTCCGATAACGCACAAACACACACAAAAAAATATATATATATATATATATTTTTCAGGTTGATATGTGCAAGTAAGTATTGATGCAAAAGGAAACTTTTCGGTTGCCATGACACCGTGGGAGAAGAAACCCACTACTGACATCCCAACATTAAACTCACCCCTATTTTGCGACCACCCCGATTCATCAGAAAAAATTATTTTTTTTTTAAAAAAAACATTTTTATATAAAATATTTTTTTTTTTTTTAAATTTCTCGTTATTAATTATTTTAGAAAGGATAAAAATGACAAAATGGCGGATCAATTTATTCGACTCGTTATTGTTTTTTTTTTTTTTTTTCGTATCTCTTAAGCCTTATCCTTCCTTACGTACCGTATTCAGGTATTTAAGGTCGACGAGTCGATAATGTTTAAAAAAAAAAAAAAAACGTGTTACGCGTTACGCATTACGCCGACAAATTTCCCGTGTTTTGTATTTTTACTTTTCCTAATACGTTTATCATTATTATTATTATTATTATTATTGTTTTACACGCGAAATGTCGATTATACATTTTTCGTTTGTTTGTTTGTTTGTTTGTTTGTTTGTTTGTCTGTCTGTTTGTTTTCCTAACCTTCTCTCCAGTTTTTCTTTTTTTCCTACCTAAATAATTTTCAACCCTTTTTTTATTTTTTTTGTCTCGTTTACTAATTAAATCGACGTCAAAAAAAAAAAAATAAAAAACAAAGAAGAGAGGGGAGAGGGGAGAAGAGGGAAAAGGGAAAAGGTTAAAGTTCAATTTTTTTTTTTTTTTTGTCCCGGAGAAGATTAAAGTCCCTCACGATGCGGGATGGGAAACAAGGGAGCAATCGGGTTCTTTTCATTACGTCGGGTTATTTTAGAGAGAATGGGGGAAAAAACGTGGAGGAAAATGGCGAGGGAAGGGGTAGTGGAGGTGAGGGAGTAGGGGAAGGGAGAGAGGGAGAGAGAGAAAGAGAGAAACAGATTTTCGTTAAAAAAAAAAATGTATCGAGAAGCAAACTGGAGAAGAAACAATTTTTACTTTTTACTTTTTTTGCCATCGTGTTTTCATTTTTTTGTTTAATTTCTATGTCGGTTAACCACGTGACTTTCATTTTCGTAAAAAAAAAAAAAAGTGGAAGTAGAATAATAATAAAAAAAAAAATTTTTTTGCCGCGTAAACGTATCCCGTGACGTAATATTTCAAAATTATCATCTTCGTTTTCAGAGATAAAAATGAATGACTGATTTTTCGTTTGTTTTCTATATTCCGTAGTGATAATAATAATAATAATTATTATTATTATTAGAAAATTTCAAAATGTTCGGTAGTAAATTAAAAACTTGGATGGAAAATCACATCGGACGTAATAAGAAAAAAATACAAGAAAAAGAAAAAAATGATTCGTCGACGACGACGACGACGACGACGACGACGAGGAATGGACGAACCGTCATTTTGGATTCGTCGGAAAGTTTAGCACAAAGCGATACCGGAATATCATCGAGTTCGCAACAGGTTTGTGACGTCACTTTATTATTATTAATAACTTATTATTATTTAAAAATTTTTGGCGGGGGGGTGGGGTGGGGGTGGGGAGAGGAAATGTCAAATACTCCTCCCTTTTCGTAATAATTAATTGTTAAAAATTAATTGATTACCTTTTTCGTTTCCGGTTCTTTCCTTCCAGGTTTTATCATCTTCCATGACTGATAACAACAACAAAGAAGGCGGTTATTACACGACGACGATGGAATCTGAAAAAAGTGGAATGACTCATTGTTTAACGGCTATTAGTTTACCATCACCGGAATCTGCTTATTCTACAGGTAAAAAATCTCAAAGGAAAAAATGCGTGGGTGTGCGTGCGTGAGTGAGTGCGTGAGCGGAGGCGCGAAAGTTCAAAACTTACTCCGCGGTAGTCCTTAGAGTTATTACATTTTCTACCTTTTTCTAGAAGAATCTTTTCCGTAAGGTTCCTTTTTCAAACTGTGCGGTCACTTCCGGTCTGTTACGTCATAACGTTATGAAAACGTCACATCATCCGTTTGGTACATGGATTCCAATCATTCTGCAGCATCCTAATAAAGTTTTTATCGATTACTAAAACATTCCCTCAGGATGATTAAAACTTGTTTTCCCACGCCACCATAGGTTTCCATTACCCAAAACTTTTTTAGGGTTTTTTTTTTTTTTTTTGATAAACCCTGTCGACGACTTCCATGTTACACAAAAAAAAAAAAAAACCAAAAAATATATCAAAGTGTTCGAAAAACGCAATCATCATCAAAATCTTATTAATTAAAAAAAAAAAAAAAAATTTCCAGCAAACTTTTTTACACAAGTTCCATAAATTATTCGACGATTCCAGTTTTAACCCTTAACCCTCCCTTAATAAAAATTGTTTGTTGAACTTATCGATTATTATTATTATTATTATAACAAAGCGTAAAAAAAAAAAAAAAAAAAAAAAACGTTTAATTTTACAAAACAGATGATGCCGGAAGGAAATAATGGCGTCGAAACTTTTGGTTATAAAAACCCACTGACGCAAGTTTACCAACATTTAAAAAAAAAAAAAAACTATAAATTTTCATCGGTTATGTGTTATTTTAATTGTTTTACCGTAATTACAAATAATTTTTTTTTTTCTCCATTTCCATCCTTCCAGTCGATTGTGAGTGATACGCACGCACGCACACGCGCACGCACACGCACACGCACACGCACACACGCACATCACATCATATTATGAGAAACATTGAAATTATTTGCAAAAATAAAAATTATGTCACCTTTTTTATTGAATCATGTCCAAAGAACGAATATGACTGGAGTTGTTGTTGGCATCATTCCTCTTTTTCGCATTACGTCATCAACCTAAAATTAATTCGATTATTATTATTATTCTGATAAAAGTGCGTGTGCGTGTGAGAAATTTTCACCGTAATCGTTTTAATTTTGTTTTTTTCAGGGTATTCGACGGATGGAGCTTCACCGGGAGGAACGGGACCTCCGGAATATTACATAAATATCCGAACGGGAAAACATTATTTTCCATCGCCGGCTCCGACGCCGACATCACCCCAACCCAATAATCCTACATTCGCTCAATATCATTCCGAAAATCAATACATGACGACAACATCATTCCTAACGAGTAATTGTTCGCTTCCGAGAGGGTATTTATCACATCCATCTCATCATTATTCAGGGTTATCAGTCGTCGTAGTTGATAAAAACGAATCGTGTGACGGGTACACGACGACCAATGGTTTAAGGAATCGTCTATCATCCGTCACATCACAAACGGTTTTTCCAACCAAAACTTTTTTCCCCGAGTCGTCTTCTCACAAATCCGTTGGACCGGAAGACCGTGAACAAGTCAACAAATCGTCGTCGATTCCACCACTATCGACTTCCGGCGGTTACGACAACAGTTCGAAATCTCCGAGTCAAATCAAATCCCCGTCGAAATCTCAGTTAAGTTCATTTAAATTGTTTTTAAAATCCCCTAAACAAGATAAATTTAAAGACGATGGTAAAAATTGTTGTAAAAAAATCCTTTCGCCGAAGAGTAAAAAATGGTACAAGCAACCCTTTCAAAAATTCGCCAACAACAAGAGAACATCGACGGATTCAACCGCCGAGGGAAACGTTTTCCATAATAATAATACTAATAATAATAATAATAATAATAAAAACGATGGGAGAAAAGACGTTATAGGGGATAAAAATGTTTATTACGTGTCGAAAGAAAACGCGGCGTCACCCAGACAGAGAAACAGGATAAAAACAAATCCCTGGCTTCCGACGGAACCCATGTCATCTCAAAATTTTCAAATCAATTTCTCACCGGATCTGATGATGAGAAATCGATCGTGCACGAACACGCCGTTGCAAAATCGTAAAATAAACGAAAACGTCGAAAACGTTCAAAATCGATTTCAGGAAATGAACGTTCGATACGACGAACGTTCGAAAGACTATTTAAAAACGCTCGAAAAGGTTGTGAGTCGTCACGTGGGACAAAAATTATACCACCTGGAATTGAGCGATCATTCCGAAGAAGATGTCACGTTGAACGAAATGATGGGAACGTATAATGAAAGTTACGTTTACGAAAAGGAAACGGATATACTTAGCGACAGCGATCCGACGGATTGTGAAGATTACGTAACGGATTCGGAAGCTGATAACGGAGGAGATGAACAAGATTCACACGATGACGAATTGGATTTTATTGATAACGGATCCATAACGGAAACGGATGAAAAAAATATCACGGGAAATCCGGGAAAGTGTACCTATCACGATATATACGTTTCAAAAAAAAATTCATTTTTATACAAATCCGAAAGGCATCATCATCATCATCATCATCATCATCATCATTCTAGAAAGGATTCGGATTCGAAAAAAAATTATCGTAAAGAAAAAGATGTTAAAATGAGAAAAACGAAAGATAATGAAAAAGTTAATGAGAAGTTAAGGAGAAAATCCGTTGTTAGGAAATCGTTTAAATGCGACGAAGATGATTTAAAAAGAAAACCGGAAGTCAAAGTCAAAGCGGAACTCAATGAAAACGTGGGTGGATTGAATTTGAGTAGGGTTTTGATGGAAAGAATGATGAGTAAAAACGGTTCGAAAAGTGCCGACGGTACACCGGTTTCGATAAGGAGGCAAAATTTGATAAAAGAACTCAGGGAAACGTATATCGGTTCAGAGAGTAAACAAACGGGACAAGAACAACAACAACAACAACCGGAAAAACAAAATGAAAAATCAATTAATAAAAAATTATTCGTCGTGGATATAGAAGGTGATAAGAAATACGACGAATTGATAACGGAAGCGGAAAACATATTTCAAAGCATGCAAAATAGTCCAATTTTTCAAAATCGTAAAAAAATTATTATTAAACCCGATGACGATCGGGGTGGTGATGATGATGATGATGATGATGATACACGTTTAAACGCGAATAAAATGTCGGATACTATCGACATATGGAAAAATGCTGAAAAAATGTGCGATTTGGTTTTAACGGAACAGGAAGTGGTTACGTCGTTGCGAAAAAGTCCAAAAAATTTAGGTTTGAAATTATTCGACGAAAAGGAAATTCTACAAACCCCTAGAAAAATCAAACAATTAGATTTTTGTAGAGAGAAAAAAAAAAATAATTCGTTTAAAACAAAATCGTCTGCTGCACACAGTCCTCTCGATCCTCTCGGTCCGACGTTTAAAAATTTTTCTATATTTAAACCCGCGAACCCGATCCAAGATGTTAAAATATCGTTAAGTTCATCCGACGAATTCGAGGAAAGACCTGGGGAAAATAACGAACGGGTACCGGTACCCGTACCCGTACCCCAAATAATTCCCCTCGTCGAATCATCTCCCGTCGTTCCCATCGCATTTCAATCCGTTGATTTGGGACAACCTTTGACCTCTTACTGCCCTCAATCCGAACCCGTTAAACGTAAGATTTACACGTGTAGTAAAACGTACGATAAACTCGTCAAAAGATTCGAAAACACTCCGAAAATATCTCGCGAAGAAACCGGACAAATTCGTTCGCGTCACGAATCCATAATGTTAAAAAAGAAAATGTCGACGAGAAATTTGGAAAACGATCATTATAAAAAATCTAATAAAAATAATCGCGGACATTTTCGCGAACAACAAGACAAAAAAGAAAATATAAATAACGAAAGAATATTCAATAATAATAATAATAATAATAGTAATAATTTTTACCCTGGAGAAATTATTTTTCCAGCAGCAGCAGCAGCAGCAGCAGCAGTTGCACCACCACCACCATCATCATCTTCATCATCATCATACGAATCAAATCATTTGAAACGTTCAGCGCCTGCAATAAAAACAAATAGGCAATTACACGACTCGAACGTATTGAGATAAAAACACGTTTCCCTATATTATTTTTGTTAGTCGCATCATTCTTATTCAATTTTAAATGAGAAAACGTACACGCGTTCGCATATATTTATATATGCGTATCGATTCGAATTTAAAAAATTATTTTCCTTTTTAAAAAAAAAAGGGTAGTTGTAATTCTTTCATCATCATCATCCCTTATTTAAAGAAGTATATTCACAATTCAAACTTGTTTACCTAAAATGGGGGAAGAAAATTTACAAAAAAAAAAAAACTTTTCTCTCTTCATCTTTTTCTAAATCTTTTTCACCATGTTTTAAATCCGCGTTTAAATTTTCAAAAGACCCGATAATGAGCAAAGGCAAATTTTACTATTAAATTTTACTTTAATCAATTAACAATCAAAGTAAAACCCCCCCACCCCCACTACCCCAACCCCCATCCACCCGCCTAACGATAATCGATTCATATTGTAAATAGAGTAACAACAAAAATGGCTGCTGATATAAATAATTATGTATTAATTTTTTTTTAACGTTCGGTTACCACCATTTACTTACATACATATCTGTAAATAATTATATAACCCTTATATTTATTTATTTATTTATTTATTTATTTTAAATTGTTACCGTTCTTATTATATTCCTTTTTCTTTTCGATATATATATATATATATAAACAACAATGCCGCCGGATAATGTTAGCATCATTATTATCATTTTTCTCTCTCGTAAAAAAAGAAAATACTTTACGTGCGTGTGTGTATATATATAATCGAGAGTATAATTAATGTACTTGGTGATATGACTGTTAAAATTTATCAGAGAAGAAAAGAAAAGATTAATGATGATATAATACGTAAAATATTCTTGTTTTAATTTATTACCCGTGGTCGTCCATTTTGATTTTTCTTTTTTTCGTTTTTTTTTTTTTGTTCGTCATATAAGAAATTTTTATTTATTTTATTTATTTACAAACCAACACCATTATGTAATTTTCTCTCGTGCATTTTTTATTATTATTATTATTATTAATGTTTTACGCGTAATGAACGAAAAATCTCGAACGATTTGTTAAAACAACAACCGCAGCATAACTTGAGAATTTTTTGAAATCGATTCGAAATCCGTTAAGAAAAATACGAACGTTTCTGATTGGTCAATTAAAAACTTAATAATTACAAAATTTATAAATTTCTGAACGCGCTCGACGACGACGACGACGACGGAAAAAATTTTTTTTCCCCCCCCTTTTTCCCCTCTGTCGTTAACGAGAAAGGTAAGAGGTAGGATGGGGTGTGAGAGAGAGAGAGAGAGAGAAACTATCGGAAACTTTTTGAAATGTTACTTTGCGTTTATATATATATAAAATGAAATTTTATCGTCAGCTTTTTTGTTTCCGCCATTTTTTTTTTTTTTTTGTAAAAATAAGCAAAATTTTCTAGAAAAAAAAATCTTTTTCTGTAAAATATAACATAAAAGGATAAAAAGAAGAACGAAAAAAAAACGAAAAAAGAAAAACGAAAAGTTCGTTAAATTTCTACCATTTTTTTTTTTGTTTTTTTTGTTCCAAAGGTAAAATTTCATAACGTTCATTTTTCTTTTTTATGTATTTGTTACGAAATTTTACGACGACTCATCTTTTATTTATTAAAAAACATAATAAATAATTTAAAATACGTTACGTAATTATTATTACAAATCGACTTCAAAATGGCAGTAATTAACAATAAATTTTTTTTAAATTCCCGATAGAAATACGTTACTTAATTACATTGACTAACACTCTCATACCTGTATAAACTCATACCTGTATAAAAAAAAAGACAAATTGGCAAATAAAAAAAAAAATTTTGGCTTAAGTTTAACGGTTGGCAAATCACTGCAATCATTATTATCATCATCATTATTATTTTCGTATTGATGAAAAACCTAAAATCCTTGATTTAAGGACGTTAATTTTCACAATTGAATACATTAATTATTATTATTATTATTATTAGTTATTGTTATATTTGTTCGTTTTTTTTGTAAATCCAATATGGCCGCGTTTGTTAAATAAAAAAAAAAAAAAGTTTGGGGGAGAAAACAAAACAAAACAAAAAAATTTTCTATTGGACCTTCGACGATCGTTTTAAATAAAATTATTATTATTATTATTATTATTAGGACCTGAATGATAATTTTTAACGGATTATTTTACGTAATTTCCGGTCATTGTAATTATTTATTATTATAATTACTATTATTAATTATACGGTCTCGGTAATTAATTCTCGTGTGGGTGTCTGTGTGTGTGTGTTTTCTTTCGTTTTTTTTTTATTATTATTATTATTTTTTTTTTTTTTCTCTTTCTTCCCAACCAACCACCACGCCATTTTTTATTTTTTTTTTACGCATTTACAAGAAAATTTATTATTATTTTACATCCGTACCGTCCTTGGCAAAAACCTTATTCCCCGCCGCAGGAAATAAATAATAAAAAAAAAACTTCACGAAGCGTAGGAGTTTTTTTTTTATTTATTAACGAACTAAACCAAAAAAAAAAAAAAAAAAACGAATTTTCATGTATCAAAGTAAACGAAATAAAAAATCGCGTAAAAATTAATGGATTTTCGTTCGCGAATTCGAATTCGAATACAAATTCAAATTCAAAACTACTACTTCGCGTCGAACGGTTATTATGTATTCTATGAATCGTTTACAACAAATAATTAATAAATATTACATAATTATACGAATTAATAATTAAATAGTGCAAATTAATTAAATGGAAAAAATATTATTACATCCCCGCGAATTTTGTTTTCGCAAAAAGACGCCATTAGTCGAGACGTTAAAAAACGCGTGCAAAAAAAAAAAAACGTTAAATTTTTTTTTTTTTTACCTTTTCATGTATCCGAAAACATAAAAATCATTTATCAATCCACGATTTATCGATTTATCGATTTCATCGATCGATCGAATATCGATTTAGGACGGAATTGTATACGAAAAAAAAAAACAAACAAAAAATCGTTAAATTTTGTTTTTCTCTCGAAAAAAATCATTTCGACTAGTTTTCAAAAAAAAAAAAAAAAAACTTTAGTTTCATTTTTCACCGCTATTCGAAAGCGCTCCTCTTTTCCCCCCACCCCCACCCACTTCCATCCGTCTGTCTCACATTCAACCCTTTCCAAAACTCACGTGACGAGTAGAATGAAACAATGTTGCCAATTTTTTGCATAATTTAATAAACGATCCGAACGAGTAATTGTATTTATATTTATGCAACGTTGCGTGAGTACGTACGCGCGCGTTATCTATATATATATATATAAGTGGGAAAGGGGAAAAATTATGTTGGGAGGAAGAAGGGGAAACGCGGGGGGGGGAAGAAATCGGGAGAAGAAATCGGGAGACGAAATCGAAAACAATAAATATGTGAGACTTATATATATATATATATATATTTTTTTTTATTATTTATTTCATTTATTTTTTAACGATTGTTATTTGTTATTGTTTATTTATTTATTTATTTTGTTAATTATTTATTTATTTATTTTTTAATTTTCTACAACAAAAAATAAATGAAATAAATGAAATAAAAAAAATTTTGGTATCCATTTTTTTTTTTTTTTTTGTAATATTAGAAATTAATTCGTTATAATCACAAACTAGTCTTATTAATCTAGTCTTATTATTATTATTATTATTTATTAGAATATTAGACGTGGTGGAAATTAATATAATAAATAGATTCTAGAACCACTTTTTTTTTTTTTTTTAAATAGATTTGTTAATAATTATTACATAGATTTTTTTTTTTTTTTTGTTAAACTTTTGGTGTGCTGTAAACAATTATTATTATTATTATGTGTGATTAGAATTCGATTGTATTTATTTTATATATATATGTATTTATTTAATCGCAGGACCGTGTTCAGAATATAATTTTATATATAAACTCTTATGTAAAACGTCGTTTGACCTAATTAAACGCCGCGTTAAGAAAAAAAAAAAAACTTTTGAAAATTTAACCGTTTATTCTCGTAACGGTTTTTTTTTTTTTTTTTTACGTTACGCATTAAGGCGTTTAATCGCGTAAAAAAATCTTAAAAATAAATTTTTTTTTTTTTATTAAAAATAATTACGCCGCGTTTAAATCATATCACGTGGTGTTATTTTACGCGCCGGTCGTATTTGATCACGTGATATTTAAAATTTTTAAATAATTATAAAAAAAAAATTTAAATTTTTCGGTAAATGTTTTGCACGGCCGTAACGGATTCGCCATATTTAAATTATCAACGGTTATTTAAAAACGACAAGTTGACCAACCTAACGAAAAAAAAAAAAAAATGAAAAAACCCTAATAATGAAAATTCAATTCCAGAAAATTCCATAAATTTGACTAATAGTATTCGACACGTAACGGAAATCTCATTTAATTTTAATTCATTACGCAAATAAAAATTTATTATCATTATCATTATTATCACTATCATCATCATTATTATTATTATTATTATTATTATTATTATTATTATTATTATTATTATTATTATTAAAATTTAAATTCATTCAAACGAAAAAGAAAAAAAATAAATTTTCATATGAAAAAAAAAAAAAAAACGAGAATATAAATTATTTTAATTATCGTCATTTTCTCATAAAAAAAAAAGAAAGAAAAAAAAATGATATTATAATCACAAAAAGTAATTACATGGAAATTTATTATTATTATCATCATTATCATTATCATTATCATCATTATTATTATAACCACGGCATTCGAGTCAAAAAAATTCATTTGCGTTTTTAACGAGGGGTCCTAACGAGAATTTAAAAATTTTTTTTTAATAAAAAAAAATAATTTTTTATAATTTTCAACGTGTAAATTTTTTTTTTCGTCTGCTTGTCTAGTTACACGTCGTCAAAAAAAAAAAAAAAAAAAAAATTAACGAACACGAACACGGTCCACGATAAAAAAAAAAACAAAAAAAAACCAAAAAAAAAAAAAAAAATTTATATAATCATCAACCGTCCTGATTTTTTTTATATATAAATAATAAACATTAATTAATTATTATTATTATTATTATCATTATTATTATTATTAGCGACTCTTTTTTTTATTTGATTACTATTTAATAATAAATATTATTATCATTATTATTGATAATTCGAATGAAAAAAGACTAGCATGAAAAGTTATGTACTATTATTATTATTATTATTATTAATTAGTTATTTTTATTATTATTAGTACGATGTAAAAAAGAAAAGAAAAGAAAATTGTAGTTTTTTTTTTTTTTGTTTAGTTGTTTTTTTTATTTAGATTAAAAAGAAATTAGAAGAAAGAAATTTACACAAAAATAACTATGTATGTATATATTCATTGAATCAATCAATCAATCAATCAATCATTCATTCATTCATTCCTTTTTTTCCTATTTAAAAAAAAAAAAAACTCACTCTTTAAATTCCAATTCGTCGTGGTTTACATTAGAAATCACATTTCGGGGAAGGAGGAGGAAGCGAGGGGGGCGGGGCGATGTTTAAATTTTACACGTCATCGTCGTCTGCTTTTGTTTTGTTTTTGTTTTTAGAGATTTTCCCGCCAATTTTCAAAATTTTTGATTATTACTACGGTTTATGATTTCGCGGGGTTTGAGAGAGAGAGAGAGAGAGAGGGGGGAGAAACAATTTTTTCTTTTTTTAATTTTTTATTCTTTAACCTTCGTTTATTTTGTTTTGTTTATTTTTTATCATGTAAATTTTTCCGTCCGCCATTTTGTTTCCCGCCTTTTTTTCACTTTCGACCGATTTTTCAATTTACATTAATTAACCGAAAAAACCTAATTAAAAAAAAAAATTTACTTTTGTTTCTCTCTCTCTCTCTCTCTTTTGTTTTTGTTTTTTTTTTAATTATATATATTTATATCTTTTAATTAAATAAATAAATAAATATACAATGCCAGTAAGTTTTTTAACAGCCATTGTTCGAAAAAAAAAAGTGTCAATAGAATTCGTTCGCATCGAATTAATTACACGTCAAAAAAAAAAAAAACAAAAAATCAATAAAATCGATTAGAAAGAGGGGAAAAAAATTTAAATTTTTAAATATAAATTTAAAATAAATCAAACGAATGAAAAAAAAATTTCTCTCTCTCTCTCTCTCTCGCCCCATTTTTCATTGTTTTCTAATTCCACGACGATTTTACGAATTTTAATTAAATTTCTTTCTTTTTTTTTTTTTTTTTATCATTTAATTTAAAATCTTGTAAATCCCTCCTTTCCCTCGTTCCCATTTTTTTTTTTTTTTTAATCACGATTTTTTTTTTTTTCCAGTAACGTCTTTTTCGAAAAAATTGAATTTTTCACAGCTAGAAATCAAATCCGAACGTTTCCTTTTTCGCAATATAAATAAATCGAACGATATATCGAAATAATTAGAAATAATTATCTTTTTCGAGTAAATAAATAAATAAATAAATGAAAATGATAACAAAAAGGGGGGACCCGTTAAATCGGGGGACTAATTTATCACCCAGGTAACGACAGATAACAAAAAAATTTTTGGGAGTAAAGAAAAGATTATCATCGAATTTTCACTTTTTTTTTTTTTTTTTTTGGGGTAACGGGAAAATTTTTTAGTTTTTATTTTTAAGGGGCAACAGATTTTTGGGGGGGAACGCGAAATTGGAATTTACGTTCGGTTTCCCCCCCTCGACTCCCCAGCGGATGAATTGGAAAAAAAAATAATGTAAGTAATCGAAAATTTTTTTTTCTATTTTCTTTTTTTTTTTTTTTTCTCCGTAAAATTTATAATAATTTTCTCTCTCACTCGCACACGCACTCATGCACACGCACTCACACACTCACGCACGATGCTCCTGACACGCCTTTTAACGTTAAAAAATAATAATAATAATAATAAATTTCCTTTTTTATTTTCGATTTCCTTTCGAAGTACGAAAAAAACTGACCGAATAAAACGTAACCGAATGAAAAATTTTTTTTTGTTCTTTCTAGAACATTCTTTCTATATTTCGAATCCTTATGTTTCTCTCTCTTTCCACGACCCCTTCCGAGTAATCCAAACCTACAGCAAAAAAAAAAGGAAAAAAAAGGAAAAAAAAAAGGAAAAAAACTCCTTCCCCTGACCGTTTCCCTGAAATTTTACACCGGATATTTTAACCGACTGTTACGTAAATCTACACACTAACATCATCATCATCATCATATCATCATCATCATTATTATTATTATTATTAAGGCGTGCCGTGTAAAAAAAAATTTTTTTTATATTTTTTTATTATTTTTTTAACCTAATTTTTACCAAGTTCGATAAGGTAAAAAATATTTCACATCATCCTTAAAAATAATAATAATAAAAAAAAAAAGTTAATGACTAACGATAGATAAATAAATACTATGATGACGTCATCATACTTAAATAAAAAATTTTTTTTTTTTATCTATTTACACGTTTTTTCTTTCTTTTTTCCTATTTTCAGACTTCAACGATTTTTTAAAAATATTTTGATTTTTTCTTTTTTTTTCCAGTTTTCTTCAAAATGACGTTTTATCGGTGGGCATTATTGATAAATATATTATTTTTTCAAATATCAGGTAAATAATTTATAAAAAATCACGTCAATCAATCAATCAATCAATCAATCCAATCAATTACCAATCATTCCTTTCTGATTTCCGCCATTTTGTTTTCGTCCCTTTTTTACTTTTTACCATTTTTTGTTTGTAACTTTTTACAAAAATAAAAAAACAGAACTAAAAAATATTTAAAATAATTTTTTTTAGGTACGAAATTAGAATGATAATAATAATAATAATAATAATAATAATAATATTAATAATAATAATAATAATAATAATAATAATAATAATAATAAATAGATTAGATAAGTTTGTTAAATATAAGAAACTCATTTCAGACTTTTTACAGACTTTTTTTTTGTATTTTTTTTTTTTTTTTTACTCAAAATTTATCATTATTATCATTATCATTATCATTATTATTATTTTGCAATACTTTTTTCGTTATATCGATTCTTTTACCACGACAAAAACTTTTCTCGTTAACTCCACGCACACGTTAACCGTTCCGCTCTGGCTTTAGTCAATTTTTCTAAATAAAATTTACCGGAAAAAAATAAACTTTTTTTTATTATCGATTCTTCATCATTATTATCATTATCATCATCATGGCGGCAAGAGTTCCTTCGAATTTTCTAAAGAGTTTTGATGGGGGGAGGGAAGGGGGGAGTATATACATATTCAAAGGTTTAGGGTCAAAAACGATTCTCTCAATTTTTTAAAAAAATTTTCGAATTTAATTCAGGGATAAATTCCGAAACGACGGCTTATCCAGAAATTCCAAAACATCTTTTGGAATGTTACATGAACGACGGGATTTATCATAGAGAAAATAGATTTCCAAATTCGTACGAATCATTCATGGATTTGTTACGTAAAATAGAAAGAAATCCGACGTCGCGCAACGTCAACGCGAGAGAATTTTCTCTCGTACTATTACACTAGTGAGTATATACAGGTTGGCTACCTGCCTGGCTACTGTCATCAACCGATCACACGAGAAAAATGGCCGCGAAAAAATAAAAAAATTATTATTACAGCCTGAAACTAGACGGTATACAATCCATACAATCCCAAGGGAAAACCCCATCCAACATTCTACCATTTGCACCATCCGGAGAAGAATATTTCAAACATAGGCTCACTCTAGTCGGTCTCGTACCTAAAATCGATCAAAATTATTTGAACGTCATCAACGAGAGTCTCACTCCGAAAGAATTGGTAACATGGCGAACAAATCGATTTCGTAAAAATTTGAATTTTCCATTAATAATAATAAAAAATTTTCCAGTGCAACCTTCATTTTATGCTTTCCTATTCCATCGATCCGTACAAACGTGAAAATGAAAGATGTTCTCCTTTACACGAAGAAATAAGAATGAAAAAAAAATATAGGGACCCTAGTTCGGATTGGAATCCGTATCAATTCGTACAAAATAATAATAATAATCATCATCATCATCGTTCTTCGATAAGAAGAAAAAGATTCGATCGAAATAAAAAAAACGATGCGGAAACTTTTCAAAATTTGTAAGTTGTGTAAACACATAAAAGAAAGTTCAAGTGGAATAAGAAAACAAACAAACAAACAAACAAACAGGAAAGACAAAATTTGTTCTAATTGTGTGTTCAAGGCCTGTCCCACTCAACAATCCAAAAGTAACAGAAAAAGACAAATTTACGATTGGAGATCAAGAACTTCTTAGCACGAGCGAAGATCGTCCGAGAGGATTACAATCCATTGTACAATGGCAGGGTGGTGGTGGTGGCAGGTACGGCGGAAGAACTTATGCCACGAGAATCAACGACGACAGTTCCGTTTATTCAAATTTACTTCCGGGTTTATCACTGAGCGATTGTCCTTCCGTCAACGGCATCATAACGACACCCTACGGATCACTATCGATAGGAACCGTAATAGCAGGTACGATTTTGCAGATCGTGTACGACGAGTAAGAATGATTCCATCGTCGAACTCACGTTTCAGGTATAGCTGCCGGTTTGAATCCCGAAGACATACCACTCATTAAACTAAGCGTTAATCCGGAAGAAATGGAAACTCCGATGGATAGGATAAGTAATATTTGGGCGACGTCACTCGCGGGTACCGTTGCCGACACGATATCATCCTCAGCACTCCTAGATCCTGACAGTTTCCAAATACTCAAGGGGGGTTGGAACGAGAGTCTAGTTCCACGATGGTACCTCCTTAAAAACAATCAATTTAAACACATGACGGAAGTTGGACTTCGAGGAAGTTTAGACGGTAAAAACAAACCTGATAATTTCATTTTTCTTTTCCTTTTCAATTGTTCTAGAACGTTCTGGTACCTTCCAGGTCTTTTTCTGGGCGTGAGCGCTAAAGAACTAACAAACAAATATTCAAATTTGAAATTATTCGAACTGTTGGAAATTTATTACGAGCACGCGTGGGGTATTATCGGAGCAAAAAATAGAGTGCAAATGAGACCTCAATACGCTCCTGACGAAACATTTAGAAAACAGGTATACGCGATGAGCGGTGAAAATAAAACACGAAAAGATAAAAAACTTCACGGATCATTTTAATTTCAGGTACATTTAATGTCGCTCGTACTTAAAAGGCAAAAAACAAACGTTATTACCGTTTTAAATCACAATCTCATCTCTAGGGATGCCGTTAGCAGGGTGTCCAACTTTATACGTGAGAAAATTTAAAATTTTTTTAATTTTAATTTTAATTTTGTATATACTTTCTCTCGTTTCATTTCCCCCCTTCCCCCCTCCACTTCTCATTACAGATAACATGGACAGATACAACAACAATCAGGGTAATACCGAATTGGATTCGATCGATATCGTTATCAATATGGTGGCAGTTATCGATTCCAGTTGGGGTTATGAAAATTTAATGAAAATATTCGGGTAAATAAATAATTGACTATAAAAAAACTTTTGCGAGGATTTAACCGAACGCCATTTTGTTTTTTTAGGGCCATGAGAATTGATAAGGTTGCTGCCACTCCTTATCAGAGCAATTTAACAATCGTCTGCGGTAACGATGGAAGAATTCTGACAAACGCGGAAAATTTTATCGATTTAAATTCATATTTTACAAAAGAAACGCTTTATCAAAATTGTAAGGAATCGTCTTAAATGATGATAATGATGATGAACTAAATTGTTTTTACCGTCGGAAAATCCTTTTTCAGGTTCGAGAGGTATGAATTATCCATTGATATTCGATTCGCTCGAAGTTTTCTATCGAAAATTATATAAAAACGAAGAAGTTACGAATAAGATGAACACGGATTCTCAAATCGTTATCATTTTCCCACACGATACCTTCTTATCAACCGACAATCAAGAATTTGTCGTATTTAAAAGCATGGAATTTCAACAAACTTTTCCAGGTTCGGAAAACAAAACAAAAAAAAATTTGTTTTAATTAAAAAAAAAAAAGAGGAAAAATTTTTTTCACCGAAGGATTTTTAATGTAAAATTTCAGACGTTCGACTTGTTGTCGCTGCAAACGGACGAACGGAAGCTTTTAATTCACTGGTAAAAAATCAAAAAAATATTTTCGCCATCGTGCCTGCAACGGTCGATCCGGACATGAAATCCGTTAAGGATTTAATTATTGGAATAAAACAAAGTGAGATAGTTTTAACGTTCTTTCTCTCTCCCTCTACCTCTTCTCTCTTCTCTTCTCTCTCTTTCTCTCTGTCTTTCTTTATCTACTTTTCCTCTTCTCTTTCTCTCTCTTCTCTCTGTCTCTCTCTTTCTTTCTGCTCTTTTTCTCGCTCTCTCCTCTTCCTCTTCTTTCTGTTTCTCTTCTCTTTCTCTCTCTTCTCTCTGTTTCTCTTCTCTTTCTCTCTCTTCTCTCTGTTTCCCTTCTCTTTCTCTTTCTCTCTCTTCTCTCTGTTTCTCTTCTCTTTCTCTCTCTTCCTTTCTGCTCTTTTTCTCGCTCTCTCCTCTTCCTTTTCTCTTTCTCTCTCTTCTTCCTGTCTCTCTTCTCTCTGTTTTCTTTACGGAAAACCTTTTTCTTTTTTGTTATAGGTTTTCAAAGGATCAGCAAACCAAGTTGCGGGTCATATTTTAATGACGTCACAAACAATCCCAATGCGGAAGTTCGGATAACGAAAGATATTTACCCGAATAAAATCGTTTACTATAGACTTTTACCGCAATATTATTTCACGTCGCGAGGATTGGTAACCGTTTCGATACGTTCGAGACAAAGGATTCCATTAACGATTTGTCATTCGAGAGAAATCGAACGTCCAACGGATTTCAGATCGAGAGGAGGACGAGGAGGAGATGACGTACCAAGATATCCTGATTATAATTCCCAATACATGCCTGATTATTATTACGGTAAATGCCTCACCACCCCTTCTCTCCCTCTCCCTCCCCATTTTAATCTCTCTGATGATAAAGAGATTGATTATAGGTAAACAAACATACGAAGAACAAGGACCCCATGGACAAGAATGCAAAACGATAACAACCGAAGAGTATAAAATCGAAATGACCGATCCTTGTTATTATTCATACACTCTAGAAGAATGTCCGACATTATACATATCAATACAACAACCACAACCACAACAACAACCGGAGCCGATTCAATCATTATGTGAGCAAACATTTTCCCCCAACTCCTCATTTTATCATCAATCAATTAATTTACTAAACAGATTTTCTATATATATATATATTTTCAGGTACGACTTTTCCCTGTAGGTTACCCATAAATACGCAATACGAAATATCAGCATACGGATTGACGTGTTACAACAGTGCCGAATCCAGATTAACGAAAAAAACTTATCTCTCATATTTATTATCTATTTTATTAATTTTTTTTTATTTAAATAACAATTAAAAACTCTTTCAATAAAAAAAAATTTTTTTTTTTTTCAAAGTTTTGTTTGTTCGTTTGTTTGTTTGTTTTGTAAAAAAAATATGTAAACGCGAGTGAAATTTAACGATAAAAAAATCTATAGACGATTGTTTTAAACACAAACACAAACGCACGAAATAAAAAGTTTTAAATAACATATTTCAATGAGAAATTAATTTCAAAAAAAAATTATTATTATTATTATTATTTGAAAACGAATATCATGTTAATGCCCCCCTTTTTAAAAAAAAAAACGACGTGGAAGAAGAAAAAAATTATGTCATTATTGGACTCGTCGTCGACGTCGACGTCATCGTCGTTTGTACGTAACGTCAATAACACTTTTTTAAAAAAGTCAACGTCCGTCCGTAATATTAATACAAACGACGTAAATTAAATAATATAATTTAAGATATCAATGACCATTGTTTGGTTGTTGTTTGTTACCGTTCACTACCATGACATTGTTTTAATTTGAAAACTATATATATATATCGATTCTATGAGTTAAAGGGCAAATTAAAACAATTGTTTTTTAATTTAAATATATATTTGTTTGTTGTTTGTTGTTTGAAACAAACTTAAAAAAAAAAAAATTTGTGAAAGTCTATGGTAAATAATAATAATAATGATATTGATAAAAGTTTTTCGAATTCGTTTCGGAATTTGCAAAAAGAAAAAAAGAGAAAATTTTTTTTTTTTTTTTTTTAAAAGGGGGGAAGGGAAAATGGCGACGGTTGTTAATTAAAAAATAAATATCGCTCGAGGTTGTTAACATGAAGAATTAAAAAGATTTACTGAAACTAAAAAGTTTTTTTTTTTTTTTTTTTTTTTTTTACCCGATGACCAAAGGGCAAGAAAATTTAAAATCATCAAAAACAAGGGAAAGTTGAACCCAACGAGACGCCATTTGCAAAACAAACAAAACAAAAAAAAACAAAATGGCCGACTCCGCGCGATTCCATAATCGGAATTAATGGTAAATTGTATAGTATCAGCAAAATAAAAATCGACATAAAAACAAATTTTTTTTTTTTTTATTAAACAAAAAAAGAAATCAGTAAAAAAGGAAAACTTGATGAGAGAGAGAGAGAGAGAGAAATCAATTTTTAACAACGAGTTTTTTCTTTCACATAAAAAAGCTTTCTCTTTAGTACGAAAAAATTCGAAATAGAGGGCAGTGGGTTCTAATAAACAACAAACAAAAAAAAAAAAAAACCGTTACACGAAATTTTTTTTTTTTTTATTCGCACGCCATCGCGATTTGGATTGGTCAATTCGAACCGGAATCTAATTTGCAATTCATTCCATGTTTCGTGTCCAAAAAAAAATAAAAAACTTTTTTTTTTTTTACGAAGGTAGGGGGACCGAATCCCCCCTTCCCCCTCTCGATAATAAAATAAAATTTTATGTTTTTAACCTTCCCTCCCCCCCCCGTCAAATAAAATTTTCGTCGTTAAAAAAAATTTGAATTTTTTTTTGAATTTCCCGCGCAAAATTTAATTAAAAATCGATTCGCGTTTCGACGACAACGATGACGACAACAATGATAATAATAATAATAATTATAGTTATTATATATAATTGACGTGTAATTATTTTCTTTTATTAAAAAAAAAAAAAACCGTTAAAATTTAAAAATGTTCGAAGAACGTTAAAAAAAAAAAAACTATTTTGACGAGAGAGAGAGAGAGAGAGAAAGGAAAAATTGAGGGCATTTAAAAAACGCGATGAAGAAGGAGGAGAGTATATACATAATGGAAAGATTTGCAGAAAAAGAAAAAAGAAAAATAATAATAATAAAATAAAAGAGTAAGAGGTCGTGACCTTTTATTAGCCTTGAAAATGATTATTATTATAATTACGATTACGATGATGATGGCCGAAAAAAGAAGAAAAGAAAAAAGAAAAAAAAACTTTTTTATGGTTTTCTAAATGTTTATATGACCACCAACATTATGGTCGATTGGTAAATAATGAAGATGGTAATAGAAAATGGCAAGAGAAACAGAGAGAGAGAGAGAGCGAAAGAAAAGAAATTTGAAAAACAAATGACGAGAGAGAGAGAGAGAGAGAGAGAAGGAGAAAACTAGGGGAAAAATTGCGAGAATGAGAAAGAGAGAAAACTGAAATCAAAAAATGGCAAGAGAGAGAAAGAAAAAGAGAAAGAACTGGAAAAGTAAATGGAAAGAAATAGAGAAAAAGGAAGAAATGGAAAAGAAAAAAGGCAAGAAATAGAGAGAGAGAGAACTGGAAAAGTAAATGGCGAGAAAGAGAAAGAACTGGCATTAAGAAAATAACGAGAGAAAGAGAGAGAGACAGAGAGACAGAAAGAAATATAAAAAGAAAATGGTGAGGGAGAGATAGAGAAAAGAAGAACTGGAATAAAGAAAATGGCTATAGATAGAGAGAGAAAGAGACAGAAAGAACTAATATAGGATATGGCGATAGAGTGAGAGAGTGAGAGAAGGAAAGAGAAAGAACTGGAATTAAAAAAAATGGTGTAGAGAGAGAGAGAGAGAAATAAAAAACTGGAAAAGATAATGGCGAGAGAGTGAGAGAGAGAAAAAGAGAAAAAACTGTAATAAAAAAAAATGGTGTAGAACGACAGAGAACTGCAAAAGTAAATGGCAAGAGAGAAAGAGAGAAAGAAAGAGAAAACTGGAAAAGAAAATGGCGATAGAGAGAGAGAGAGAGAGAGAAAAAAAAAATTTCGACTACTAACGTTTTCAAAAAGAAAATATTAATTTCCGAGTTTACCACGATTTTTTTTTTTTAATTTTTGGAAAGGCGAAATAAAACGTCTGGAATTTTGCACACACACTCACCTGGACTGAATTTTCATTTAACTCAACTTTTTCCTTAAACTGGAACGATTAAATCAAAAGAAAATGAAAAAAAATTTTACCTGGAAAAAAAAGAAAAAGAAAAAATTTTAAAAAATGTGTACCAATCCGAACCTGACGTGGTTCGGTTGTTTTTTCGAATCCCCCCCATAAGAGAAACGAAGAAGAATTTTTTCGACATTGAAACACAATAAAAATTTCCGGTTTTTTTTTTTTTTTTTTTTTTTTTCAAGGTGAACCTCTCCCAATCAGGTTCAAAACTTGAAAAAAATAAAATAAAAATATTAAATTCTTTTTTAAATCAGCAAATATCATATTAAAAACAATTATTATTATTATTATTATTATTATTATTATCATCGGTAAAAGTAGGTGAAAATCAAATACAAACAAAAAAAAAAAAAAACAATGACCGGTCATTATTTCAAGTGGTATCCATAAAAAAAAAAAAAAAAATTTTTTTTTTATAGATAAATTAAATTTAATTAAACAATTTTAAAAATGTAAACCGTAACGTTAACAACAAACAACAACAAAAAAACGCGGGAAAAAATATTTATTAAAATTTCACGCGTGCCAACAAAAAAAAAAAGAACAAGGAATAATAAAAACAAAGATGGTGGAGGAGGAAGAAGAGAGGAAAAGGAGGAGAATGGAAAAAAAAAATTAAAATTTTTTTTGTGTCAGAAAAGATAATCTAATGCCCGATCCGCAATCGATTAAATTTTCAGGTATATACCTGGCACACACACACACACACACGATGTCTCTCTCTCTCTCTATGGTTTTGTCTTTCTATCCTTCTCTATCCTTACAGTTTTTATTTTTTCTTATTCTATATCTCTCTGTTTTTCTCATTAGCTCTTCTACCTTTTTCTCTCTTTCTTTAGTTTATAAAAGGTCAATCCTTCTCTCTCTGTCCTCCTATCCTTTTCTATCTTTTTACGTTTCAAAAAGTCTATACTTCTTTTTCTTTTTCTTTATGTTTTCCTATCCTTTTCTCTCTCTCTTTGTCTTTTTATCCATCTCTCTTTCTCTTTATCTTTCTATCCTTATCTCTCCTTGTAATTTTTCCTTTCTCATTTTGTATTCCTCTTTTTTTCTCACCAGCTCTTCTACTTGTTTTTCTGTCTCTCGCTTTTTCTCTTTGCTTTACCAAAATTAACTCCTATCTCTCTGTCTTCCCATCTTTTTCTCTCTCCTTCTTTTGTCTTCCTACCCTTTTCTTTCTCTCTATCTTTGTCTTCTTATCCTTTATTCTCTCTTTTTATTTGCCTTTGTATCCTTTTCTCTTTCCTTTCTGTGTCTTTCTATTCTTCTCTTCCTCTCCTTTTTTACTTTACAAAAAATCAACACTTCTCTTTCTCTCTCTCTCTCTCTTTGTGTTTCTGTCCTTCTTTTTATTCTTCTCTATAACTTTCTATCTTTTTAACTCTTTATGGTTTTTTTTTCTTTTTTTTTCTTTCTGTCTCTCTTTATTTTACAAAAAGTCAATCCATCTCTCTCTCTCTCTCATTTTACTTAAACAATCACTCCAAGTTTTCTTTGCTGATTTGTTTGTTTGTTTTTAAATACATTATCCGGTTGTTGGCGTTTTGTTCGACTGGCCTCGTTCTTTCTAGTTATTATTATTATTATTTTTTTTATTAATAAAACTTGATTTTATGCAAAAAAAAAAAAAAAAAAAAAAAAACAAATTTTTATATTAAGAGAAAAGATAATCGGAAGCCATTTTGTTTTATATTAATAAAATCGTGAGAAGTAGAATAATTTTTTTTAGTTGTTTTGCCTTTTCGTGAATTTTTCAGGTTTACGATGATGGGAGGTAAACGTCAACAACAACAAACAACAACAAAAAATGAAACCAGGGAAAAACCATTTAAAATTTTTTTTTTCTTTTTTTTCGATATAATCGAATCGAAAGTCGTTTTTTTTTTTTTTGTAAAATCGAAAGTAATCGATTTTTATAATGTTATTGACATTATTAGAATTCGATTTCGAATCGGTTCTAACTTTTTTTTTTTTTTTTTTAAACAATTATCGAAAAACAAACCTAAAATTAACGCCATTAAATTTTTATTTATGCGTACCACCAAATTAAAGGTCATCGATCTATCGAACGATCGATGGATCGATCCATCGATCGTGGATCGAACCATTATTTAAAAATAAATTAATTACTACTTTCTTTTCGCGTGCCGGTATAATAAAATTATACGTTTTATTTAATGACATTTCCCCCCCCTCTTCCCCCTTACTCCTTTCTTTTTCCTACTTACGACCCTGTCATCAACAACCCTTAACGTTTAAAAAATTTTTTTTTTACAATAACCCCGATTTATACGATTAATATAAAAGACTCGATAATTTTCATCAATCGTGTCACGGTTTACGTGTTTCCGATTTTTTTTTTTATTTTTATTTCTTTTGTGCGTGTCGACCGTCGTTGACCGCCATTTTGAAAATTATTATTATTTTTTTTTTCTAATAAAAAATTTTTATTTAATTTTCAAACGGGTGCTAAATATTTCGATATCAAATTCGTTTGCATACCCACCCTCCCCTCCACAAACCGGGACAGGTGTGCGTGCGTGACCATCGAAATCAAAATGGCCGACGATATTTTTAGTTTTTGTTTACGCCGCGTGGGAGTGCTTCGAACGCGCTTTCAACCCCTTCCCCTCTTCTCCCACATCTAACCTTTTATCTGTCGTCTGATTTGATTAATTGAACGGCCGTTAAGAAAAAAAAAAAAAAAAAAAATTCACTCGTTTTTTAAAATCGTTTCGTCCGTGAAACGTGAATTTGGGAAAAAAATAATGAGAGAGAGAGAGAAAAAAACGACTAAAAGAGAGAAGGAGAGTGTGAGAGAGAGAGAGAATCAAAACGTCACTATTGATAAATTATAGCAAAAAAAAAAAAAAAATTTTTTGAGTATTTTTAAATTCGGGCTAAAAACGTTTAAAAATAATAATAATAATAATAATAATAATGGTTTTGAAAATTATGACAAAAAAGGAGGAAGAGAGAGAGAGAGAGAGAGAGAGAGAGAGAGAGAGAGAAAGAGAGAGAGAGAGAGAGAGAGAGAAATAAGAAAGATTTTAACATTAATAATAATAATAGTTCATCGAACTGCGCATAAAAAAACCAAAACTAATAATAATAATAGTAAAATTTTCATTTTCAACTAATATTATTATTATTACTTATATTTGTTTAAGTAATTTTTTAACCGCCATTTTCTTTTTTTAGAAATTTTTTTAATAAGTAATTGAAAATAAATTACGCACACGTAAAAACAAATGAGAGAGATAGAGATAGAGAAATCAAAAAGTGAAATCTTATAATTTTATTCAAACGTTAAAAAAAAAAAAAAAAAAGGCAACAATGATGACGACGGCGACGCTACCGCCACCACCACCACCACCGCCGCCGCCGTCACCAACCATTTTGAATGCCCTCGTTGACCTTGAACGTTTGCTTAATTTTTATACATTTACAAATAAAATAAAAATCATTTTTAATTTTAACTTTCGAGTTTTTTTTTTTTTTTAACGTTTTTTCATTATCATCATCATTATTATTATCGTCACATTACGCAACGATTCGAAAACGCAATAATAATAATAATAATACTTAAATATATTCATTAAACATAATAATAAATATAAAAATTTGCACGCCCTTTCTTTTTTTTTTTTCTTATTTTTATTACCTTAATTTATTACTCCCGACGATTCATTTATCATCATCATCATCATCATCATCATCATTATTATCATCATAAACGGGAACAAAATGCCAACTGACTTTTATAAAAAAAAAAAAAAAAAAGACACAAACACAAACGTAACCGATTGAAATTAATCACCCGGTGACACTAGACAAAACCTTAAACGGAATAATAATAATAATAATAATAAAAACGATCACGGACGAAGACTGACGAGGAGGATGACGATGATGACGACGATGATGACGTCACACTCAAAAAGGTTAACCGTCATTTTTATATTTGTTTTTTTTTTTTTTTTTTAAATAAGAAAATGATATCATTTTTTTCTTATTTTTTTTTTGAGGGGGGTGGGGGGAGAAAGGGGTGGGGGAGAGGGTGGAAATCATTTGGTCAAAGAAACAAAAAAAAAATAGAAAAATTTTTTTATGAAAAAAAAAAAACTTTAATCACAGCAAAAAAAAAAAAAAATAATAAAATTAACAAAAAAAATACCTGGTAAAATCGTATTAATTTATTTTCGTTTGTTTCTTTCTGTTTGTTTGTCTGTTTGTTTGGCTGTCGGTTGTTATTGTATACAAACACACACTTTCGCGAGTGGGGGTGGGGGGGTGAATTAATAATAAAAAAAAATAATTTTTTTTGTAAAATAAAACGAGATTAAAAAGTTTTTTTTTTTTAAATTAAAAAAAACGAAGGATTATGAAAAACAAGATGGCGGCCGTAGATGGTAAAAATAATTTTGTACTAGATGACGATATGTAACATTCGACCGGACATTCTCCTTCTAAATAAGAGCAAAGAACTTTACGGAAATTTTTCTGCGCCATATCCGATTCCGTTTTGTTGTACGTTCTATTGAAGACTATCGTCGGCACTGACGTGAGGGGTGGATTCAATTTTGCCGTTTCGTCACCGTTTGCCGCCAATAAATTTGCACCCATTGCGTTCGGGTACGTACCGTTGGCGCAAGATGTAACCGTCGTTAAATCCGCACCCTCAATGCACGGACTCAACGGATATTGGTTTCTCATAACTTTGGCTTGTTTCATGAGACAATCGATGTATTTGAATTGATCGTTTTCTTCCGGTATTTGTTTCAATATGCATCCGTGTACTTTATTACCGTAGCATTCGACAGGTCCGTGATGACATTTGAATTCCCATTTTTGATTATTTTCCTCTGATCTTGAATGTGATGCTTTACCGTAGGGTACCAATTGCACGTCCATGTAATTTTTCAATCTTGTACTTTGAGCGGGTGCGAGTTGATTCGTTACGAAAGCTATTGAATCCGGACAAAGGGATTCGTAATAAACTGTCACTGGAATTCTATCATCCCCCGATGCCATGATCGTTAACGAAACGATAAAAAACAAACTAATTAACTTCCACATTTTTTTAAATTTTATTTAATAAATAAATAATTATTAAAAACGAAACAAATTTTTAAATAAAATTAATTAATTAATTAATTAAATTTTTTTTGTTGTCTGTGTGTGTGTGTTTCTGAACTCGACCAACTCTAACTAACTAACCTCCGCAATCGAACTCTGGCGTACCTATGATTGAAATTTTTTTTTTTTTTTTTTTTTTTGTTTTACATCACGTATTCCAGCGAAACCTACTCGTTTTAATTATGATCCGCATATATTGTGCTGACATCTATTATTATTTTTATTAAACTAAAAATTTTCCCCCGTAAAAGTAACGTAAATAAATCCGATAGATGTCGTTGCTGACCAATAACCATTTTCAATTATATATATTATTTATCATCCGTCGGGGCACTAGACAATAACAACAACAACAAACAAAAGGGAACATATATTTTACAAAAAAAATTTAATTTTGAAAAAGAAAAAAAACGCATTTTTTCTCTCTTTCCATAAATTTATTTTAAATCTAAAATAAAAAATAAAGTTTTCAAACAAATAATGAATCGCATAATAACCGTGATATTCGCAAAAAAAAAAAAAAAAAACAATTTATCAAACAAAGCGAAAAATCAATGATAATAACAATAATGAATCAAACTCGAAAACGGCCATGTTATTTTCCCATTCTTTGTATCGACCATTCTTGCTGACACAGTGGGCATCTATTGTTTTGTTTTACCCACAGTGACATGCAACAGTAGTGAAACGAATGATTGCATTCGCCCCAAACAACGACGCAATCCTGACTTCGGCCTTGACTCGATTCCGCCTGGCACCTCAGACAAGCATCTGTAAAAAAAAAATAATAATAATAATAATAAAATAAAAATGATACCAAAAAAAAAAAAAAAAAGTCGACCCTGCCAGGATTCGAACCTGGAATCTTCTGATCCGTAGTCAGACGCGTTATCCGTTGCGCCACAGGGCCAATTGGAACAACGTGGCTACAGAAAACAATATCAATTCTACCAGAAGACGACAGTAATCCCCATCATCACGTTTACTCACGATAACTATTACGTCAAATAAAAATTAATTAAAGTATTCACCGATAGGAGCGCTCCTTTTAAATTATTTTTGCCACGTAAATACCGTTGAAATAATTTTTTTGTTTTTTTTTTTCTTTTCATTTAACCAAAACAATTTTAATTATTTATCAACAACAACCAAAAAAACAACAACAATGACGATTAACCTATTTGTATAATTGATAATAAATAATATTTCGCTTGTACTCAAATAAGTCCGACAAAAGCGTAAAAAAATAATATTAAATTTATTTACAAACGACAACTAAATATTCGTTACGAGCTGTGTAGACCGTCATAAACATTCATTTAACCCTTAAAAAAGAAAAATACATTTATCACATCAATTAAAAAAAAAATTTTCGATTTAAGGAAAAAAAAAATTTAATATTGACCCCGACGTGATTTGAACACGCAACCTTCTGATCTGGAGTCAGACGCGCTACCGTTGCGCCACGAGGTCCTCGTGATGAATTGCCTTCCATATCTCCGATTTGAAAGTCAATTATATTTATAACTAATTCCGTTACTCGTGTAATAATTTTAAGTTTATTACGATTACGCAATATTTACAACGAACTAAAAATTCTTTTTAGATTTTTCGAAACATCATCATCATCATCATCATCACTAATAAATAACAAACATTTCATTTATCAATATGGTATTTTACGTGTTATTATTGTTTTATTATTATTATTAATATTATCACTGTTATCGGATTCGATCGTGTCATACGACGACAACGGCTCCATCAATGGCTTCCACATACCATTTTACGACATACATATTTCAAAAAAAAAAAAAAAATTTTTTTTTTAAATGTAGGTGACAACGGATTAACAAAATTATCATTAGGACACGGGTAAAACACGTGGTGTTGTTATAAATTGAATCAAAGCTCCCTTTTTTTTATTTTTAGATTCGAACGCGTCCCACTTAATAAAAAAACAAACGAAAAATTAATAAAACGTGCGAAAATCCAACCGAAACGATCGGGGGAACGCACTCGCACGCACACACACACACAAACCGCTTCGTCAAAGGAAGACATTTGCAAAACATTCCAAATACGGTTTACTGGAATTTTCCAGGTATCTAAACTTCCGTTCGAATTTCGTAATAACCTCACGGACGTTCACGTGCGAACATCACCCATCATGTCCTTTCCCCTCAGGACGAACCTTTCTCGATCGACAAAATTCAGGAAAAACAACCACTCCCGTCAAGGTTTATTTACCGTTAAGAGCGGTAAACAAACGTATCAAAGGTCAGGTCGATTGAGTCTTAACAACGAAAAAAAGCTGTTCGTGGGAAAGAAGACTTTTCGCACGGATTTTCCAGGTTCGTTCGCATAGCCCTAGAGAGAGAGAAAAAGCAAAACAACAAAATCGTTATACGCTCGTTTGTTTGTTTGTTTGTTTAAAACAAACAAACCTTAACCGAACGATCCGTCGGCTCTGCGTTTTCCATTTTCTTATTCCGAGGGTAATCCACATAAGCCTCGAGGATACCTTCCAACAAGTTTTCATAACAAATTTTTTTTCCATTCGACTGGGCGATTTTCCTAAACTGCCAAAAAATAGACAAATAATAATAATAATAATAATAATAATAATAGTGGAAAATTTTACGATATTAAAAAAATTTTTTTTTTTTTTCTCAAACTTGTTTTTCTTTTTTTTTTCTTTTTTTTTTTTTAGGTTGGTAATTTTGTTCATTTTCTTTGCTTCAAAAAGAAAAACGAAAAAAAAAAAAAGTCAGTCAGTCATTAATTACATCATTTGCTTTCCGTTTGTACATAATTCAAAATGATGATGATGATGATGATGACATCTTGTTTTCCAGAGAGAGAGAGACAGAGAGAGAGAAAGAAAACACAAAATTATTCCCTTTTAGGGGGATCCTTAAACGGGAAAATCCGAAGGGACTATGAAAAAATATACAAGGACCGATAAAAATAGGAAAAACCATCTCAAGGTATCCGTGGAAAAAATTTCAGGCACGTCGATCAGGTTTTTGGCGTGTTTTTTTTTTTTTTTTAAATATCGATTGTCAATCGATCGATTCGAACCGAAAAACGTAAACAAAAACCAAACCACCTTCATCAACCATAACCATCACCATCACCATCACCACCACCACCACCAACACTACATTTTACGGTTATTTTTATAACCTTCCCTTTGTTTACCATTTTCTTTTTTGTATGTACTGGTGATCCAACCGCGCACACCCTCTCACACGCACCCCCTCCCACACTCACACACGCACACACACGCACCCTCGCACACCCGCTCTGATTTCCTTTACTCGTCGATGAATTTGTGACGTCAGCATTCACGCAACACACGACTAATCGAAAAATAAAATTTGGGGTAGGAAGAATTTAAAAATTATCGGGGCGCGCAATTAGTGACACGTTCAATTCCGCGATTTTCATTCGAAGTAAAAAAAAAATTTCTAATTACACGTTCGTAAACGTTATCCTCTTAATGACGTCACGATATTTGAAAAAAATCTAGTCCAGTAGTTAACGAAAAAACGAGTCCAGTAATTAATATTATTATTATTATTATTTTTGCTTCGGAAATTATGTAATGATTGATTACGTCATTAATTAAAATGACGAATGATGATGATGATGATAATGATGATGATGAAAAAATGATGGATGGGGGTTAGGATTCGTCTCATTCGCAACCCTTTTACGCTTTCGTTAAAGTCCAAATTCTCAGAGTTTATTCCCTCCCTTCCCCTCACCCCCCTTCGTTGTACGATAAGGACAAAAGAAAAATTGAATAGAAAATAAAAAATAAAAACTGAAAAAAAAAAAATAAAGGTCTTATCAACGTTATTATCAGAAAAATTAGACCTTTCATTTCATCATGTGACCTTTTAACTCTAACTTCTCAATTTTCAGGCGCACGATATTTCTACTACCACGTCATCGTTTGCAAGGTAGGAAATTTTTCGTTTTCGTTTCTTTTTTTCCTTTTTTTTTTTTTGTCTAAATACACTACTCGACGGCGGTTTTCGAGCCTTATTAAATAATAATAATGATGATGATGATGATAATAATGATGAGTAAAAAAAAAATTTTTTTTAATGTTTTGACGACTACGCAGTTTTTATTGCCGAGTAAACATTTAAAAAAAAAAAAGTTCAAAATTTAGGACGAACCCATTCGAAAAGGACTGTATAGGGTCATCATCAACCATTGACGACCATTTTCGAAAGAAATTCTTCTACACGACATTGGGGGGGGGTCTCTAAAAAATTGCGTTGTGCAACTTTACGCCTTCGTAAAAGTCATTTAAAACCTGAACATTTCATACATAAACTCATAAATGACGATGATGATAATAATGATGATCCGTTAAAATATTTTCCACGCGAGACACGCACATTCGCACGGGGGGGGGGGGGGTAGGCTCACTCACTCACGCATAAGTCAATGCGAAATCGTATTTAGGACAAATATATTAAATAAATATAATCAGGTGATCATTTTTTACTTGTGCCTGAAAATCATCTGTGTCTTGTTGTTGTTGTTGTTGTTGTTGTAAACAAAAAGTCGAAAACCTTCAATCTCGAAACTTCCGCTCACCCCGAAGCCATGGTGGTCCCACCACCACCACCGCATGTGTACGTGCGTGCGTGCGTGCGTGTCTGTTTGTCTGTCTATCCGTCTGTCTGCGCAAGTTTTTTCGCATAGCGGTTTATTTCGTTTTGGTACTAGACCGATTGCTTATTGTCAACAATAACATAATGGTCATTCCGTCGGAGGCTCGACTCCGATAGCCAATGAGAAGAAAGAATCGACACACCTCTATTGAAAACCGCATTTTTTTTTTAAATTAAATTTTCAGATAACCTTAACAACAAAAGTGCAAAATGTTAATAATAATAATGATAATAATAATAATAATGAAACGAACGAACAAAAAAAAAAAAAAAAAAAATTCATTTCAACCGTCGATCCATTCTAACTAACGGAGATTACGCAACGATTCAATTATTATTCGGTAAACGGTTTGTTCATAAGCTAAACATTATGACTCGAGGCGAAACCAAGGCGAGCCTCCCTGACGTACGACATGTACAAACATGTACAACTTTTTCACAAGGTCAACGCAGACCCCGTACCTACCCAACAACCGACCAACCAACCTGCCTGACTGACTATCACGACTAAAAACAAACGATAATTATGTTGTTTCGAAATAACGAAAGTTCGAATCGAAATGACGATGGTCAGTGACGTTCCGTCACTTTGTTCGACGCCATTTTTCCGTCTGCAAAATTTTCGTTTCGGTGAAGAGACAACTTCGCAATAGGTTTTCCAAACGCGGACATTTCCATTTCGTTTCCTCCGTAGGCCGTGAGTTATCATGCTGGTGATAACAACCTTAGAGGTAGTGCCTATTAGAGACACCATTTCCGAGTCGTTAAACTTTTTATCTAAAGCGAACGTTCCAATTCCTATCGATTATTTATTTACTGTTTTTTTTTTTTTTTGCTACACATCCCTCCATCTTTTCTGCGTCATGTGTGTGTTCCCTGTCACGTGATCAAAAGGAATATAATTTATCATTATTATTTTTTTTTTCAAATTCTCTCAGGTAACCCAATTAAAAAAAAAAAAGTCTTTGTGAGACCGTATTCAGACAAAAAAGGAATCGTTAAATCTGCATTTTTAGCAGTCTTAGAAAAAAAAAAAAATGGCGCGTTCGCCATACTTGTTGGGTAATAATAACTAGCAGTAGTAGCAGTAGTGGTGGTAGTAGTAGTAGTGGTAGTAGCGACCAAGGTTTCTTTTTCTTTTACCGTTTTCATTTTCTTTGGCAAAGTGCAAAGTACGAACGTAGACTTTAAGGTAGGTAATGAGATGTGTGACCTTGAAACATGGTCACGGACAAACATCGGGTGACCTTAGGAGAGAGAGAGAGAGAGAGAGAGAGAGAAAAAAAACTTTTCCCCCCCGGCCCCCCCGAGGACGACGAATGTGCTAAAACTTTCAACCAACAACAAACTTAAAAACACTTTTATTCGGGGGCTCGCCATGTTTGGTTTTAAGTGAAAATAAATAAATAACCGCGAGTGGGTTTTTATCATCATTATCATTCTCATCATTATTATTATTATTATTACTATTTTCTCTCGAATGGATAAGCGAAAAACGAGAGAATCTTATTAATAATAATAATAATAATTTCGAATTATCGATTATACATTTTCGTAAGTAAGTTTTCTTCATCTTCTTCTTCTTCCTGTTACTATTATTATTATTATTATTTGAAGT